GCCGGGACGGGCTCAATTCGTTTTTGGCTTGTAGTAGAGTTAAGAATAAGAATTTGCAAACAAAAATAGCGATTTTAGTATACACCTACTAAAGCCTCTTCACCGACAAAAAATAAAGGAAAAGTATTTTTTGTCGCGAAATCGAGTGGACCGCTTTTAGGGAGACTGCCTCTTAATTAGGTTAGCTTTGGGCTGCATTTAAATTTTACTTCTTAAAGTTTAGTATGTTTAATATTGGAGAATATTCTTTGCAGTCAGTCTCTTTATTCTCCAGTCATGCACTTTTTCTATTTTTTGTAATATTATTTATTGTGTACTTGTATTAGCATGACAAAGTATTATTAAACTTAAACCAAGAGAGAAATATGGCTTCACAAATTTATAAGGCATACGTCAAATTTATCCAGCGACAGAAGAAGTCAGGCAATGGTTGAAGTTCTGCTGTTGGTTGCTAGCAGACAAATATTTCATCAGCGTGAACAAAATTGACATTTCGCTCAACATTCGCTAATTATATTTGGCATATCTCATACAAATTAATATCTGGGTGCGTCTTTAATTACTTGCGGTAACGGTGACTGAAGAAGCATAAAATGCAAGCTGAAAAATAATCTAAAACGCTTGAGGATGATGCCGTATCCTCGAATCCCAGTCACAGGAAAACCGAAAGGGAGAAATGACAAACAAACGCTGAGTTAACTGATTTGTTGAAACAGACGGTCACTAAGCTGGGTAAATGTTAGGCTCCCACGCAGACGTTCTTACGGGTTTGTCAGGTTTCACTTGCAAAAACGTTCTTTAACTTTAAACTGATTGTTTATTTGATAGGAAATTTTAGCTCTCGGAAGAATACTCAGTTCAGTCATATTTTAAGTTAAAAACTATGACACTGGCGAACTATTTCCTTTTCGTTTCGATATTTCTTGATATCTGCAGTTTGAAATTAGCTGCAGACTGTCAGAGAGGATGCGAACAAAGCAGAGGAAGTATTGGTAAAACGGGAATGAAAAATCTGGCTATGCAAGGACACAGCTTTAGAAATTACACGCTGTCGAAACCGTATGACTGTCATGTAAAATGCTTTGAGGAGAAATGTAAATGCCAAGCGTACCAAATAAGGGAAAATCGATGCGAGTTGCTTGATGAAGACAGATTTTCTGCTCCTGAAGACTTTCTCAAGGAAAAGGGATACACGTATTATGATATGAATAGAGAATACGTCAATCAGGTAACCAGTAAAATCTAATGTCGAATGTCTCCGGCTTTGCCAAAGATTAGACTACGAGTAGTCCCCCATTTTTCCTCAGAGATAGTAGAGCGTGCTAAACGCGAGCACGCGTGAAAATCACCCCACGCGAGAAAAGGTGACACGCGGCGGGGAGAGAGAAAAATGAGGGACTACAGACAAAGCCCAAGCTTTTGAACTAATGCGTTGCTCTCACAACGTAAAACTCTGATTGGCTCTTCCATGGAAATCTGTCAACATCTGTCAAAAACGTGCCAGCCGCTATCAACACTCGACATAATCACAATTTACAGAACAAATAACTAGAGCAGAACAAATAACAGCACAGAACAATTAAATAGAGTTGCTCTTGTAGAAGCAACTAAGCAGAGAGCCAACCCGGCAACTGATGAGGTTCGCGTGGGGAACCGAAACCATGGTCTTGCCTGATCACGAAGTGAGAATAACAGAACAGTTGCAAGGCTGTTAAGCTAATTCAAAAGTTATCACCAAGGGAGGAACTGCGTGCTCCAGTCCAAAGACTCACATTATCTCCAGAAAAACAAGCGGCAGCAAGCGACTGAGTCACATCGCAATTCTCTACAGTTAATGTAGTTTTAGTTTAAGCTGCAATCCATTCTTTGAGATTTGGATATCACTACCGTCCTGCTAAAAACGCTAACGAGCTGGGCCCAGCGTGACAAAACATTGCAGAAAACCGTCTTATTCACGGCCAAAAAGAAAATCGCTTAAAATTATTCAGATCCAGGAGGCAATCGCCGGAGAAATTAAACAACCCAAAACCCTTATTTAGCAGCATTGAAGAACTTTACTTTTCAAAAGAAGTCAAAGAAAATGCTCTTGTATCAGAGGGCAAATCATGCCGACCATAAACAAAAACCCCAGAAAATTGATATGCGTGTCACGACCTCTCTGTGTGAAATAAGCGGCAAAAATCACATTTCCTCAGTCAAAACGTTTTCCTCCAGAGCAGAATCTACCTGTCAGAGAAAAAAAAATTCATTGGAACAAGCAGCGTTTTGGCATGAGTCAAAGTCGTGTGTTGCCTACACTATCAAGTTCTTCTCGCGAAACAGCCATGAAGAAAATTAGTATCTGGGTTTTCTTTTGCTTGCAATAAATTTTCCCCGCAGTTTACCGATGACAAGAGCAATGACAGCTCAATATAAAAGGAAGAAATCCCATTGGATGTGCTTAATTGATTTGGAAGGGGATACGAACTTCACACTCCAAAATCAGTCGGCCGTGAAGGGTCAAAAGCTTGGGCTTTGTCTGTAGTCCCTCATTTTTCTCTCTCCCCGCTGCGTGTCGCCTTTTCTCGCGTGGGGTGATTTTCACGCGCGCTCGCGTTTTGCATGCTCTACTATCCCTAAGGAAAAATGGGGGACTACTCGTAGTCTACCAAAGATAGGCATTGATTGCTTTTGAGATTTTAAGGTACACACATGCGTACGAGGTTCCAGAACACCCTTTCACAAAATTCCTGGCGTGAGATTGTAAGTTAGTATTTTAGGATCTTTTTGATATTTTTTTTTCATCGAAATATTAGTCTATGATAGAGGAATGTATGTTGGTCATATCATGACTGCCGCTTAAAAGCTAGCTAAGCGTGTGTCCACTAATTTTAGAAAGTCGATAATGGCGTGAGCTTGTAAATTAGTGTTTTAGTCTTTTTGGGTTCGAGTAACGAGAACGCAACCACTAATTTGTGCTGGGTGTTCTGTGCATTATCAAGTGCCCTCTGCAATTAATAAGGGAGGTTTCTTCGAGATTGCGTTTGTCGTAGTCGTCGACACTCATTTGCCTCGCTTTGAGGCGCTTGCTTACGTCTTGCCTCACTTTGACGAACTAACTCACGTGGTGATTCGTGCGTTCTTCTTTTATTCTGTCTTCGTAAAGCGTTCATCTTTCAAAAGTTTGCTGAATCTTCGTAAAGCGTGCATATTTCAAGAGTTTGCTGAATCTTTCAAAACGTTTATCTTTCAAAAGTTTCGGCGGTCGTTTGTGCCACAAAGTAAATCTGCCGAGTTGTGTAGCTCGGCGGCCGTTGGGCTGCAAAGTAAATCTCCCGGGATGTGAAGCTCGGCGGCGCCATTTCATCATGACTTGTGATATTTTCGGCACCGGACAAACGAACATTTTAGGCCTATGTTATTTATTCCGAAAAACTTATAAACAGCCCACAGTAGCTCCACTCAAGTCACTGAAATCAACATACTCGACCAAGCTTCTGCACTTATTGAGACGGACCATACGATATCACTAGCCTTCAAGGTTTTTTCATAATGATACACAGTTTAAATATAGGTTTCGCTGTAAACAATCCTTAGGTTTAAAATATGGTATAATCAAATTAAAGCCCGGTTTCCACATGATCGCTACCATCGCTGTGATCGCTGCGATCGCTAAGAAAAAAAACTTCAGCGATCGCAGCGATCAGTTCCGATTACTCCAAGTAATATTTTTATTTAAATTTTAGTCTATGATAGTGGAATGTAAATTAGTCATATGTTAATAAAGATTTTTATTATAAGATAGACAGATTATACTTAATCAGAGGACTATAATGATTGCATTTCGGCTTTATTCATTATTACCTCGTCATGTTAATAAAACAGGTTCCAATCTTTAGATAGAAATGCACTATTTTGGAAGGTTGAAGTTTTGAAAAGGAGGTTAAAATGCTTTTCAGTTTTTCAAATCTCGTGTTGCTTTTTAAGGATGTGGTACTTTAAAATCTTGTTCCTTAATGTTCAGTACCCTCTTTTCTTGAGGGACCCTTTTATGTCCCTCTTGAAATTAAGAACTTTTGGGTACACTTCCCCTCATGGTGCAGGTTGTTCGAATCCTAAAAATAATGGATGGATGAACAATATCTGTAACTCACAGAGGTTTCTTGTTCGTGCAAAACAATGTGGAGGAAAAAATAGCTTTCTGGATTTTTCTTGTGCTTAACTCTCTGGGCGCCGAGCTCTTTACAAAAATATTCCCAAATTAATGACAGTTTATAAAGCAAGGTAGTCGATTCAACAGGGTATATATTTCGGCATTTGCATGACGTTGGGCAAACCTAAAAGCGAAGCTTTCATCAAAATTCATAAGAAGGAAATATCTTTTAAAGCACATTGTAAAAAAGAGAGGGTCTTGCAAATAATAAATAGAGGATATTACATGGTGGCCAGAAGATAGGAATTTTATTTTCGAGTGGCAAAACAATATTTTACGAACGAGCGCAGCGAGTGAGTAAAATATTGCTTTTGCCACGAGAAAATAAAATTCATATCTTCAAGCCGCCGTGTAATGTTCTTTTTATTATATAGACAAAAACACATCGATAAAATAATAGAGGGAAATGACAGAAATTACGTCAACGATAAACTTACGTGTGAGATTATGGAAAATAAACCACTCGGGTCCCGGATGTAGTTTTTGTGAATTTCACGAGTGGTATATTTTCCAGTAAAACACTCGTGTCTATATAATAATATATAAAGATTATTCCTACATGCACTTTTAACATACTCTCCCGTTGTACGATAGACATTTGTGAACAAGGCTGAAAAAGAGAAACCATGCATCAACCAGTGCTGTGATCAGATTCCATGCGTCCATGGAGGCACCTGTACTGAGTCATGTGAAGACGCTAAAAATAAGTTCAACTGTACATGCGCAGTGGGATATTACGGCAGATTTTGTCAGAAAAGAAGAGCAACGTCTTGCAAAGAGCAACTACGGAAAAACAAAGGCAGCAAGTCCGGAGTGTATAAACTGTTTGACCCAACGCATATGACCGTATACGAAGTCTTCTGTGATGCTGTCTCTGAAAAAGGGTTCATTTGGACTTTGATCGAATCTTTCAGCCTTCGTAACAATCATGAATTTAAGGACAAAGCATTTTACAAAGACTATCCAAAAAATCAGGAAGCTTTTACATGGGGCAAGTTTCGTCTATCTTTGCCACGTATGACAGCCACAGCAAACCGTTCAACGCACTTGCGAGCAACGTGCAACTTTAACACTGAAGAACTTAAATACAGAGATTACTTAAGGGCCAAGTTGAATGATATCGACGTTATGCGCTTGAATTTTGACGGATGTAAAAAATACGAATTTATTAGCATCCGAGGATATAACTGTAGCAACTGTACGGCTCAGTTCGTCCAAAGAGATAATTGGCATGCGCATACTGATTCGTTTTGGGGTCCAGAGATGGGGTGTCAGTTTACAAGCCAATCCACAGGTGCAGTGAATGCACGCAGAGGGGAGGATAACTTCGGATGGTATGAAACAGTCAATCGGGTTCACAGATGTACATCTAGTGATGATTCAACAACACAGTGGTGGCTTGGAGTTCGGCGTCACTAGGCTCTCTATTAACAATTATTTTATGAGGCTGAGTACCATCCGAAGAATTATGCAGGTCGAGGAGGAGGACAAGGCGGATAACACCCTCCGAGATCTCCATAATTCTTCAAATGAGACGAAACCCTAATTCAATAATTGTTTAATTATTAATTCAAAATAATTTCTAGTTTAAAAACGATCGTGACGTGTATTTGTGCCTTTTGAAAGTTCAATGTAAACAGCGTAAGCTCTCTAGATAACCCCTTAAGGCTCTCAGAGCAAATGTTGTAATAAATATTGTTCAAAAAATAAGCTAAAACATGCTTACCTCCATAGAAGTTGGTCATCTTCAATTTCCTGTTTATCGACAAGTTTATGAGATATATTGTTGTTCAGTACTGCAAATCAGTTCTCCATATAAATATATTCACAAATATTGTCTTCCTGTTGTTCTTGCCATGTTTTTAGCCAATAGTTTGCTTATTTCTTCATCGTGAAACGAGTGTATTTGCCCGCCATTCTGTACTCACTACCAAAGCAACTCAACCTTGTGCCCCGGTCTTCTCGGTTAACTGTTCAATAATTTGGCAATTTGCTGCACAATTGACGTCATTTTTAACATATCTCGACTTTCTTCCAAAATTCGGTCCACAGTAGCTGATTATGATGAATTAAGCGTGGGATTTTAGCCAATAAGAAACGGAGAAATATTTCGAATGTATAATAATTTATAATGTTTTATTAACCTAATTACCATTATCTTAAATGTGAACTTGCATGGACGCTTTATTATAGGAAAGATAAGACAGCACTCGGTAAAGACAGTTCCCAAATGCAGCAGCAGGAACCACCTTGAACCTACCTGACTTGTGCAATGTGCATGATTCCATACTGGCATTTGCTGAGCTCCTGCCTGCAGTGCAACGCCAGATGTCTTAAATCCTCGTTTGTTGATCCTTATTAGGCGAGTTTCGTTGCTGCCACTCGTGTATTCACCACTTTGGGCTTCCATCTACATATTTATTTGTAAATCTCTCATGGAATAGCTTAAAAAAAATGACGTCTTTCGGCAGATTTGTCTTAACAAAATAAGTAACAATTATTCCTCGAACCCGAATGGGCTCTGAGTCAATAGCCCATGAGGGCGAGACGAATAATTGTTTTAGTAAAATCCAACTAGTTGGTCAAAAATATCGAGAATAAAAAAATTTTAGCTAGTTAAAAGCTAGACTTTAATCCTTTTTTGCCGCCAAAAAGCCCGCGCTTTTCGCTACTAGGGGGCTATAACATATAGCCAAGTAGTAGCTCAACCAATCGGAACGCAGCATTGATAATAGACCACTAGCTGGATCTTAGTAATATGAAATATCTCTCGCGACAGATGGATCATTATATTGGAAAATTTTCCTTTGTTTTGAGTTTGGCAAACGCATTCTCCTTTAGCATGAATTAAAATCAACATCATTGACATCTCGCTAGACAGAAACAGAAATAAGAAAGCGTATCTCATAAATCTATGTCAAGGCGCATTTAAATTTAAAAAAAGAAATTAATGTTTGATGGCTGTCTTCATATCTGACAAAGACAAGGCTAAACTTTACGCCTAATTTTTTAGACCAGAATAACCCCAAATCTAAATGTAAGTGCCAGAATGAGTTTATCTATATCAGAGATTTTAAAGTCGTTCAAAAAACTCTCAGTCGTGTAATATCAGGCTTAACAACTCAAGGCAAATAGACTCCTGCTCGTTTTTTTAAAAGCTTTTAAAAAAGTACCTGTTAAATTCTTAATCTCATCATCCTCATTTTGAAAAAATTTGGTAAACAGCTGACCATATCCGATATATTATTTTGATTTTGCATTTAAATTTTTATTCATTTCTGTTATTTCCTCCTTTTTTTACTTGTTTGTTTGTTGTTGTTGTTTTTTTTTGCTGACGGTGAGGAAAAGTGGCAATCGAACGTAAGCTAAATAACATACAATTTTAAAAGTAAACACGTAAAAACAAATGAGATAATGTTCCGACGTTTGGGCATTATCATGACGTCATTATCAAGGATCATTAGACTGTCTCGTTAGTCTTTACATATGTTTATATTTCTCAAAATCATTATTTCTCTATTAGAATTTTAAAAGTAGATTTTATCTAATTTATGTTTTAATTTTTAATGAAGGGAAGCTGACCTGAAAACAAGAGTCTACAGAACGAAACTTAAGCTTCCTGTAAGCTTGCAGCTGCTTTGTAGACACTAGCTATAAAGGTGTAAGCTCAGACCTTGATCAGCTTCAGCTTCTCTAAGTGATGTTTCCGGTTTGATGTCATCCAGAAATTTTGCTACCATGGCAACGTGACGTAACGACTTCTCCTCTCTGTTCCTTTATTGCTCGAAGAAAAGGGACTAAGAGAAGTGGCATACCTTAAATGATCTAATAGACGCCCTCTTTCACATAAACTTCTCTTTAACAATTATTCCTGGAGCCCGAATGGGCTCTGAATCAATGGTCTATGAGGCCGAAGTCCGAATGGGCTATTGACTCAAAGGCAAATTGACTCAAAGCCTATTGAGGCTATTGACTCAAAGGCACGCGAGGCTCACCTCATTGACAAAGCTAGGACTTTAGAACCTCATGGTATAAATAGGAGACCGTGATGAACTCAATTTGTGACATTTATCTTTGTAGGAGCCTATCATTTTCTGTTTGCTATGTATTCAAATCTCGTATAAGTAACGTTCATCTTTTATCTGTATTTCATTTTTCTTTTATAGCCCCCGTTGAAGATTTGTGTTGCAAACCGAAATATCAGGCAAATATAATTCACCACTTTATTTTTGTTCTCTTTCGATATTTTTTCTCTCTCTCTTCCTGCCGTAAGGATCAGTTTACTGTTTTAAGTTTAAAATTATTGACTCAGAGGCCATGAGGGCGAGAGGACAAATTGTTTTAGCAAAATCCAACTAGCTGGTCAAAAATATCGAGACAAAGCAACTTTAGCTCGTTAAATCTAAACTTTAATCCTCTTTTGCCGCCAAAAACCGGCGCTTTTCGCTACTAGTGGGCTATAAGTAATATATAGCTTTGTAGTAGCTTAAGCAATCAGAACGCAGCATTGACAATAGACCACTAGATGGATTTTACTAATATCTAATAAACGCCCCCGCAACTAGCAATGTTAACTTTGCATCAGACGCCCCTCTCTAACAAACGTCCCCTTTAATAAACGCCCCCATGCCCCCCCCATGACCATTACTACAAAATGGTAGGAATTACCGGTAGCAAAAAAGGAACAAAATCATTCAATTTGTTCGGTTTCTTGCCTGATGAACAAGGGTTATTTCATTGTAACTTGCTCATAAGGATAGACTAACGTTGACAACAAAATGATCCTAAGCGAGGATTCGGAGCTGTCGACAATGTTGAGATTTGAAAGAGCGATATGTAGGTAGCAGGGCTTTTTAACAGAGCTGCACGCCCCCGAAGCGCGCGCAAGCGGAGCCCCATAGCTCAGGAAATCTATCCATCCCAGAAAATTTGGTAATCACGTGACCGTACACCGCCCGTCCTTCCGTCCGTCCGTCCGCACCACATGGAAACGAATGTTCAATCTTACACTTTCTAGCTAGTTTGGTAGCACAGGAAAACTGATATTGTACACATATTGCACATCAATGTTGTGATCAATTGACAGCTGTCAAAACATGGTACTTGCTGACCAGTATCACCTGACCGTGACGCAGGCTCACGTTTTCACCCATCGAGGTCGAGTATTTTTTTGAAGTTATCCGCTGACAAGTTTAATTTCGTTTTAAATCATATGAAATATGTTATGCTTATGTGCTGCACAATTAAAATTTTGATTTCGAAGGTGAAAGTTCAGTCAGCCATTACGGGCAGGGAGGACAGATACTTTTCACTTTTCTCACCATAGTCATGCGTTGATCATGCTCTATGTCCAATTTTTATGCTCTGATTGGTCAAAATTTGATAGGTGAGTTCATGTGGAAAATTTGTGCATTATCTTCAAACTTGTTTCCTTTGACAGCTGAAGCTGACCGAGTTTTGTGTCAACTTGTGATGTTTGTAACTGTCTTTTTTCACTGGATGTACAAAATGAAATTCTGCTGCTATCAAGAGTCTTCTGTTATTCATGGCTGGTTGGTTTATTGCGTTTTTGGTTGAGAAATGCGTCGCTTGTCAAAGTGGGAAATCCGATTTCGGATTGCATCTTTTTTGTTTTTCACCTTGCTTGATGCGTAAGAGGGTTGAAAAGTCTGAAGCGATTCAGGCCTTACTTGATAGCTTTCAGGAGCTGCATCTCGAATGGTAAGCCTGAGTAATTATTGTATTTGATGTTTGTTTTTTATATTTAATTTAGTGAAGTCGAGCGTAGTTTATGCGGCTATTTAGTTTTTGCACGTACGTTTGTAAGATTTGAAACAATGATCTGACCGAGTATCAGGTTTGATATAAGCTTACAGAACTTTTAAAAGCCTTTAGGACATTTTCTCACCGCAAATAGAAAGAAAAGACGTTCCAAAGAATATTTATTTATAGTTCTGGCTGTAAAAGAAAGCTTTGAGCGATTTTCTTGCCTCATCGTTCATAACCTGCAGTGCAGGTGCTTTCTTTGAGCGCTCAATTTGCTCGCGAAAGCGACATGTTGAAACTTCCCGAAGAGAGGAGCAATCTTCCACTGTCATAAAATCAAAGATGGCGGCTACAACAATATTACGAACACGAACAAGGTTTCGCCCACCCAAAATACGCCTGCAGTGCAGGCTACTCTTAAATGTGATCGAAGATGATTGCTATTTTTTGGACATATAAGGCTATCAGCTTGATGTAAGATTTGGTTCACTCTTGGACTGTTTGCAAATTATTTTTCTCTAAAATCACTTGGCCTTCCCTAAAAAGTCACATGAATGTGCTCTAAAGTTAACTGATTTGTCGAATATAAGTTTATTTTTTGATTTAAAATATAAATTTATTAATGGCAGCTTCGCTTTTAGCCCTGGCTAAATCTATACATTACATAGTGTTACACTCGACTGCCGATGACTCTAACCTTCAAGGGTAATCGAGTTATCGGGAGCTCGAAGCAAATGGCCGGAAGTAAGGGAAAAACCAGTTTTTACTGTGCATTGAACATTTTAATTAACAATTAATGAATGAGGCTGAGTATCTTATGAAGAATTGTGGAGATCGAGGAGGGGCCGAGGCGGATAACACCCTCCGAGATCTCCATAATTCTTCATATGATACGAAAACCGAATTCAACAATTGTGTTATTATTCATTCAAAATAATTCCTAGTTTAAAAACATAGCTAAAACATGCTTACCTACATCGATTTTAAGTTCATCTTCGATAGCGCACGCTTAGGCTTGTTCAGCTCCGCAAATATTCTCCAAATAGCAGATGTCGCCCTTCGAGTTGTCTTCTTGTTGTCCTTGCCACGTTTTTAGCTATTATTTCGCCTACTTCTTACTCTTGAAACGATTGAAATGTCCGCCATTTTTGTTTTCACAACCAAAACAACTCAACCTCACCCCCAGGTCTTCTCGGTTAACGGTGCATTAACCTGAAAGAAAGCTGCACTTTTGACGTCATCGGTTGATTAATCGCAAAATTCTTCCAAATTTGGTCATCAGCAGCTGGTTGCGTGTGGTTTTAGCCAATCAGAATCGGGGAAATATTTTGAATGAATAATAATCACATTTAACGGAAGAAATGTCAAGTTAAAATGGAACGATGCTTCTAGAATATAAATCGGAACGTAATGTAACAAAACATAGCCTAAATAGTGCATGCGTTTAACTGTTTTGAGAAACAAAGCTGTTTCACGTTAAATTTGTGACAAAATTTTGTTATTTTCGCTGAAATAATAATAATAATAATAATAATAATAATAATAATAATAATAATAATTATTATTATTATTATTTTCTTGTATAGCGCAATTTCCAATAATTCAATAGCGCCTAAATCAATAAAATTTACAAACATTCAAAACTACTGCCTTACTTAAGGTGACTCGACCCAGTTATTTTGGGGGGGTACCATGTCAAGTTAAAATGGAACGATGCTTCTAGAATATAAATCGGAACGTAATGTAACAAAACATAGCCTAAATAGTGCATGCGTTTAACTGTTTTGAGAAACAAAGCTGTTTCACGTTAAATTTGGGACAAAATTTTGTTATTTTCGCTGAAATAATAATAATAATAATAATAATAATAATAATAATAATAATAATCATAATTATTATTATTATTATTATTATTATTATTTTCTTGTATAGCGCAATTTCCAATAATACAGACTGGCTTACCAACGCTCTGCATGAAAGGAAAGTCCATTGCACATTAGTTTCTTCAAACGCATATACCAATGACAAGATAAGAAACAATTTATACACTCTGTGCAGGTTCTCCTAAAAAGATATGCCTTAAATTTGATTTAACTATCGACCGAGGAAAAATTGATAATTTTGTTTTCGCTGTTTTGTTGTTAAGACGGTATTCAAATTTACGCTTATTGCGTGAATCGTTCGCCAATAACTTTCTCTTTGACATCAAGCTCCCAACTCTAGTTGAGCCTAAACATTTTTACTAGTTGTTTATGTTTACTTCCAGTCAGCTTTCACTATAAAAATATTGCGCTGTTTCGCGTAGTAAAGTCTTTCCATCCCAGAGGAAGGCTACATTGACATTGTCAGAAGTGACTATTCTTTCTCGTCGGTTGGATGCTCTTTGACCCCCACTTCAAGCCCAGACTCCTCGAAAGGCCCTTTACCAGCGGCCATGGTTTCTTGGGTGGGAACAACCTCTTCTTTCAAATTGTCAGTCTCAACTTCAGAGCTCGCTGTTTCTTGTTCAGGCTGTATCGACTCGGGATTCTCTGCTGGAGGCAAATTGTCGTGTACCTCGTCTGTTGGATGCGCCTTGACACCCACTTCAAGCCGGGACTCCTCAAAAGGTCTTTTACCAGCCGCCATGGTTTCTTGAGTGGGAACAACTTCTTCATTCAAACTAACGGACTCTTTATCAGAGCTCGCTGTTTCTTGTTTAGGCTTTATCGACTCGGGATTCCCCGCTGGAGGCACGTCGTGTACGTCATCTGTTGGTTGCGCCTTGACGCCCACTTCAAGCCCGGACTCCTCAAAAGGTCCCTTGCCAGCGGCCATGGTTTCTTGAGTGGGGACAGGTTCTTCTTTCAAACTGTCGGAGTTAGCTTCAGAGCTAGCAGTTTCTTGCTTAGGTCGCTTCACTTCGGGATTGTCAACTGAAGACACGTCGTTGCCCGTTTGAATTTCTTCTGTGTTTTCTCCTTCCGCATCTTGCTCTTGGCTGGGTTTTCCTGTTTCCTGCAACGACTTGCTCTTATCTTGATCAGATTCCTCAGTAAGTCCTTTAATTGGACTCACGGTCTCCTGAGTAGGACGTACCTCCTCTTCTACGGTACTTTTAGTCTTGACCGCGGAATTAGCGGTTTCCTGTAAAGGTTTACTCTCAGAGAGACCTTCCGTTTCATTGCCTGGACTCTCCTTAAATGGTTTCTGTTTCTCAGTATCTTCTAAACTCTTCAAGGACTTATCCCCGCCCGTGTCATATTTGCCAGGTTCTTTCGTCTCTTGTACAGGTTTCTCTTTCTCAAACTCTTCAAAATGCTGTAAGGACTGCTCACCAACTGTTTGATTTTTGCCAGTCTGGTCAGTCTGTTGAAGTGGCTTTTCTTTATCAAACTCTTCAACACCTTCTTGAAGAGAATCCTCCGGGCCAAATTTGGGTTGCTCTATCTTCTCATCCTTGGTCACGTCTTCAATTTCTTGTACCGGCTTCTCTTCAAAGACCTGTTCGCCTGCAAGATGTTTCAAGCTTTCATCCGTGCTGTCTTTTGGCAGGTTGGCAGACTCTTGAACTGGCCTATCTTTCATCTTTTCATCCTCACCGTCAAGAGATTTCTCTCCGCCAGAGGTAGCTTGTGTAGGCGATCTTGCGTCTTGAGTGTTCGAACTGGGTGTCCCAGTGCCGAAGGGGGACATAACAACTGGTAGTGGTGACCTTGGATCCTGAACAGGCGTCTTGCCAGGTATCTGAGATGATAAACGTATACCTGACTGTGGTGGGGACGAAGCGATTAATGAAGGATCCCCTGTATAGGCAAAGATAACAACAACAACAACAACAAAAAAAACGGTTAAGGGAATATTTAAAAAAGCCAAATAATTATCAGAATTCTTAAAGGAAAACGTGTTTCCCATCATGGCCTTTCGCAATACGAAAAGAAACACGTTGGCGTTGTTTGTATAGCGTCAGACCTGGTTTTTGCCCAAACTCAGGCGTCTGCTTTCGTTTAGCTTCCAGACAAGGAAGGGAATTTGCTCAACCCCGGGGGAGGAACACCTCTAATGGCCTATATGGGGAGGATCCGCCCGAAAGGCTTCGGGTATATGAAATGGTAGGGATTTCACTGGTTCTACTTGAAGTATATGAAGGAATAGGGAAATCTTTCATTCGAGTCTTTAATAAGGCGCAAAAAGGGCTGACAGATAAAAATTATGGCTGTGAAGTCGAGAAAAAGTTCTGGTTTTGTGATTTATTCATATTTTAGAGACAATGCATTTACAGCAAGGGATGCAAAGCTCTGAGCTACAATCCCGGACAAACCTACTTGAGAAAGTTTCCCCATCATGTCCACTTTCCTACACAACAAAACTATTTCCCAAACGACGCCTTTGCGGAAAGAAATCCCCTTCCCCCAATTCAATGTTGCTTCCTAGAAACGCCCAGGGATCAGGCTTTCTTTTGAATACACAACAACATCGCTTTCAGAGGAAGGAGGAGAGTAAAGAACCGGTACAGCTACGATGTTCAGAAAAATGCTCCCCAAGTACACAATTTCCTCATCAGTTTTGTCCAAGATTGTAGGTATGTAAAAGGGGTACCATTTGTCAATAGAAGGTATGCGAAAGGGGTACCAGTCTGTCATGAATGCATATAAAAAGGGTAAGGGGTTGCACCTCAAGGCGGAGCCCACCCGTACAAAACTTTATTGAGTACCCTCCTCCCGGGATATGGCCCTGGACAAAAAACCACCATCCATCACTACCAAAGGTAACCTACCGATACCAACCTGAACTGGGAGCGTTGATGGTATTCGCTGAGGCTGCCCCTCCTGCATTAAGAAATGCTTGTTGAGCGTTGACATTTATTACGTTACCTCCAGCTGGGAGATAAAAAAAAGCTCTTAACATTAATATTTCATCGCCAAGGACTGATCTCAGGTTACTGAAGGCAAGACTGGAGACCAGACAATGGAGAGTCCAAGTGAAGGCCTATGTAGATGTAGCGAGAGAGAAACATGCACGGGGTAAAGGAGCTTGCGTCGAGAGAAGCGGACACCGACTGATGTGTTATTGCTTAGGAATCGGTGAAGCAGAAAAATAGATGAAGGGTGCATTATTTATACTGATATTACACGAGTCTTGGGAATATACTTTCAAAGTTCTTGACCATGGGAAAAACCACCAACAATTGTGACCTAAAACTTACTCTGCCTAAATTGGCACATATCCCTCTTACTGGAAAATAGAATTAGACTGAAAAGCACTCGGGTATTTTTTCTCACACACGTGAAGCGCGCGAGCCTTACACGCCACATGCGCGAAGTGCGCGTACTTGACTACGGGAATGAACGGACTGTTTTGCAGTCTACACCGGATACAATTTTTAAACTGTTGTAAACACCAGTGTCCCGGAAAAATGTTTAACTGAAAAGTCCCCGAAAAAGAGTGCAGGTTAAGCAGATGACATTCCAGAAAAAAAAGCATTATCAACAGAGAAAAAAATATAGTACGTAAGGGCAATGGATAACATTTTGTTTACTTGCCTGGAGATTCACCAACAAAGGAAGTCTGAGCGGGCTTTAAAGATTCCTGGTAAAAAAAAAATAGTACTTACCGTAAATGCTCGAATTAGCGCTCAGCTTCAAATAAGCGCCCCGCTTTGAAGTAGCGCCCCTCCTAAGGCTCAAAATTTGTAATAAGCGCCCCTCCCCCCCTCCCCCGAGAAAAAATGAGTTTCGGTACACGGTACGATATACGAGACGTATACGGTCTATACGGTCCTTTTAATGAAATGTGACATTGTTAAATAGTATAAACAGTAATGTCCTTTGAAAAGTCGCACGGGTTTGCTTCTCAATTCCTTGATAGAAATATCCATGGGAGCACATGGCTGCTTCACTTTATTAAGTTCCTCGTAAAACTTTGCTCCCAATCGCCGGCTCCTTGTTACTGCCTTAAAAGTTCTTGGAATTACGAGGCCATTTTCGGTAAAGATAGTGTCATTTTGAGGCTAAAAATTGACAAACGAAATAGGCGCCCCCTTTCAAATAAGAGCCCCCCTTCGAATTAGCGCCCCCCTCTCGCCTAAGAAAATTAAATAAGCGCCCCGGGCGCTAATTCGAGCATTTACGGTACTTAAGAATAGCCAGGATTACCGAAACGGTTGGCTTCAGTCTTTGGTTGGGGTGGGAAGGGTGGGAAATGATTTTCCTTTGAATAATCGAACCACAATTTGTCATTAGGAAGATTCCACAAAAGGTGAATTAGCAAGTGTCAAGACTTAGTGGCCGAACGGTTATTTCGAACTTGCGTTAGTAAGGGACGCGTGTAAAGAAACCAGAAAGGGGTTTTTGCCTTTACCTCAGAACAGGCACACAAAAAAATGCACTTTCTTTGAGTGTCAATGTATTTAGTACGAAAGGACGAATTGCGGGCATTATGGGTTTGACGTCGCCTACTGGAGACGGGAACGTCATTTTACGTGGCCATCAGAGCCACGCAAAGGTCTAGCCATTTGCAGGGCAAAGGTAGTACCTTAATTTCTCGGTTATTTTAAGATACTGAGTATTGGTCCGGCTTCGGGAATCGAACCCGGGACTTCCCGCTCTACTCTGCAGCTCAGCGCTCTACCGGCCGACTGAACTAATCCTGCCGCGGATCACAGCATCGAATTTGACGTTAATTGAGTGTGGTAGTTCAGGCCAAAACCGGCAATTCCAAAGAAAGTAGAACCACTGGTCTAAAAAACACCCGGTGATCAAAGGTGAACACTGCCTTAACCGCCTGTAGGTAAAACCTCTATGAGGTTCCATATTTCTCAAATCCTATTTGGAATTTTGGTGTTACTCACCGAATCTACACTAGAACGGAATGGAAATCTACAGCCAAGTTGCTTCCTCTTCCGCATGAAATCACTGACAATCTGGCGAGAGAAAAAAAAATGTCCGGCACTTGATCACAGCTAAGACTCAACTTGCTCTTTATACGTGGCTGTAAAACTAAGAGTTCTATTTCATCACCATTGCCACAGGGATCCCATGATAATGCATCACACGCGTGATCGTCTGTGCTTTGAAATGGCATCAGTGATAATGTTAAAACGTGACTTGTCAAACTACTTCTTCCCAATGAATAATTGAAATTCAATTCAATTATTGAAGAATTGCCACCTGGCCGAGGCAGCTTATGTATTTCATCAACTGTCATTTAACTAATCGTGCTTTCTAATTGCGTCCTTGACCATTTTTTCTCATATGGCTTCACAAAATTAGACATACGTCTAATTTATCCAGCGACTGGTGATTTCAGTCAGCAGACAAATATTTCATCAGCGTGAACAAGATTGACATTTCGCTCAACATTCGCTAATTATATTTAGCATATCTCATACAAATTAAAGTCTGGGTGCGTTTTTAGTTACTTGCGGTAACGGTGACTGAAGAAACATAAAATGCAAGCTGAAAAATAGTCTAAAACGCTTGAGGATGCATGCCGTATCCTCGAATCCCAGTCACTAGAAATCCGAAAGGGAGAAATGACAAACAAACACTGAGTTAACTTATTTGTTGAAACAGTTTGTCACTAAGCTCGGTAAATGCTTATTTCCATAAAATATACATGTATATTAAATTTCCTTTTCTTATACAAAGCACGTTTCATTTGCGAAAACCTTCTTTTTCTTCAAACTGGTTGGTTATTTGATAGGGAATTTTAGCTCTGGAAAGAATACTCATAAGTGATATTTTACGTTAGAACAATGACACTGGCGAACTATTTCCTTTTCGTGTCGATATTTTTTTATATCTGCAGTTTGAAATTGGCCACAGACTGCCAGAGAAGATGCGAACAAAGCAGAGGAAGTATTGGTAAAACGGGAATGAAAAATCTGGCTATGCAAGGACACAGCTTTAGAAATTACACGCTGTCGAAACCGTTTGACTGTCATGTAAAATGCTTTGAGGAGAAATGTAAATGCCAAGCGTACCAAATAAAGGAAAATCGATGCGAGTTGCTGGATGAAGACAGATTTTCTGCTCCTGAAGACTTTCTCAAGGAAAAGGGATACACTTATTACGATATGAAAAGAGAATACGTCAATCAGGTAACCAGTGAATCTAATGTCGAATGTCTCCGGCTTTGCCAAAGGAAGACACAGACAGTCTGACGAGATTATACTTAATCAGAGTAATCATTATATTTCGGCTTTATTCGGTATTGCCTCGTCCTGTAGTTAACAAAACAGGTTGCAATCTTTCGATAGAAATGCACTATTTTGAAAAGGGGGGGGTGGGGGTACTCCTGGGAATTCTTGGTGGGGGTGTGCCGCCTGGTTCTCCAAATCCTGACCCTATTTCAGACTGTGAAAAACTGTAATTTTCCACACCCGTTTTCAGACCAGACCTCTAAAATCCATACCCGTTTCCAGACCTGTCCTTTAGGCCGAAATTATGTTAGCATAACTTAGCCTGGAGCGCAAACAAAACAATTCTTCAAATCCAATTCGAATTCCCAAATTTCTCTTTCTTTCTTACTCATTTGGAATTGAGACGATAAATACGTTCATACACTTCCGTAAGTTCCCTCGAAAACCATACCCGTTTTCAGACCAAAACAGCACAAAAACCCTACCCGATGGGGTGGCACATACCTATATAGCTTATATAGGGGAGTATCCCCCCGGGTTTGGAAGGCTGACGTTTTGAAAAGGAGGACAACATCCATTTCAGCTTTCAAATTTCGTGTTGCTTTTTTAAGGATGTGTTACTTAAACTCTTGTTCCTTAATTTTCAGCACCCTCTTTTCTTCAGAGACCCCTTAATGTCTCTCTTAAAATTAAGAACTTTTAGTTACACTTCCCCTCATGGTGCAGGTTGTGTGAATCCTAAAAATATTGGATGGATGAACAATATCTGTAAATACTTCATATGCTTGTTGACTTGTTTGTGCAAACACTGATATTGATACTGATATATTGATTTTTCTTGTGCTTAACGCTCTGCTCGCCGAGCTCTTTACAAAACATTCTCATATTGTTGACAGTTTATAAAGCAAGGAAGTTGATTCAACAGAGTAAATATTCGGCATTTGCAAATTGGGCAAACCTAAAAGCGGAGCTATTATCAAAATTCATAAGGAAGAAATATCTTTTAAAGCACATTATAAAAAAGGTAGGGTCTTGCAAATAATAATATATAACATAAAGATTATATAAGTGTATAAAGATTATTCCTACATGCACTTTTAACATACTCTCCTGTTGTACTATAGACATTTGTTAACAAGGCTTGCAAAGAGCAACCAGTAAGTAACCAGTGCTGTAATCAGAATTTATGCGCTCATGGTGGCAACTGCACTGAGTTATGTGACGACGCTAAAAACAAGTTCAACTGTACATGCGCAGTGGGATATTACGGCAGGTTCTGTCACAAACGAAGAGTAACTTCTTGCAAAGAGGAACTAGGGAGAAACGAAGGGAGAAGGTCCGGAGTGTATCAACTGTTTGACCCAACGACTATGTCCATGTACGAGGTCTTTTGTGATGCTATCTCTGAAAAAGGATTCGTTTGGACGTTGATTGAATCTTTTAGCTTTCGAAATAATAATGAATTTGCGGATAAAGCATTTTACAAAGACTTTCCGGTAAATCAGGGAGCCTTTGTATGGAGCAAATTTCGTCTGTCTTGGCCACGCATGATAACCACAGCAAACCGCTCAACGCACGTGCGAGCAACTTGCAACTTTAACACTGAAGAACTTAAATACAGAGATTACTTAAGGGCCAAGTTAAATGATATCGCCGTTATGCGCTTTAATGGCCGTGGTGCATGTAAAAAATACGAATTTATTAGCGTCCGAGGATATAACTGTAGCAACTGCACGGCTCAGTTCGTACAAACAGATAATTGGCATGCGCATACTGATTCGTTTTACGGTCCAACGATCGGGTGTCAGTTTACCAGCCAATCTACAGGTGCAGTGAAGTCACCGGGAGGGGAGGATAACTTCGGATGGTATGAAACAGTCAATCCGGTTCACAGATGTGTATCGAGTAACGATTCCACCACTCAGTGGTGGTTTGGAGTTCGGCATCACTAGGCTCTCTAGCCTAGAGGTGGATTTCCACTTACGCGGTTTTGGCTACGCACGTTAACGAAAGTGAATTTCAATCGCGTAAATAAAATAGAGGCAAGATAAAAAGTGCTGAGCTTAAACGAGAAGTTGAGCGAGGTTCAACTTTAACGCTTACGTGCGACCTTTCATGCATTGCCTCTGTTTTATTTGCGAAAGTAAATTTTACGCACGTACGCGCGTAAAAATTACGCGACACTGGAAATCAACCCTTAGGGTTAGGGTTAGGCAAATAAAATAGAGACAATGTATGAAAGGTCGCACGTAAGCGTAAAAGTAGAACCTCGCGCAACTTAACGTGTAATCTCAACACTTTATATCTTGCCTCTACTTTATTTACGTGATTAAAATTTACGCGCGTTAACGTGCGTAGCCAAAAACGCGTCAGTGGAAATCAACCTCAAGGGTGGATTTCCACTGTCGCGTAATTTTTCCGTGCGTACGCACGTGAATTTTACGCGCGTAAATAAAATGGAGACAATGTACGGAAGGTCACGCGTATACGTAAAAGTTGAACCTCGCTCACCTTTTACGCTTACGCGTGCCCTCTATTTCATTTACGCGCCTTCGCAGGGAAAAATTGCGCGACAGTGGAAATCAACCCTATTAAAGTCAGTCATTCTTTGAAAACAATTTATAATGTTTTATTAATCTAATATCATTATCTTAAATGTGAACTTGCATGCGTATGGATGCTTTATTGTCAGAACGGTAAGAGAGTAACAGTTTCCAAATGCAGCAGGTGGCCCCTGCATTGCACCTACCGGACATGCACACTGTGCATGATTCCATGCTGGCATTTTCTGAGCTCGTGCCTTACAGTGCAGCGCCAGAAGCCTTGGAATTTAACATAAATCCTCGCTTATTGAATCCTTAATAGACGAATTTCGTTGCTGCCACTCATGTACTTACCACCTTGGGCTTATTTCAATCTGCATAATTATTCAGTGGTAAATCTCTGATGAAATGGCTTAAAAAAATGGCGTCTTTCGGCAGATTTGTTAATTAAAATATCTCTAGCGACAGGTGTATCATTTATATTGCTCACTTTTTCTGCTGTTGTGGGTTTTGGCACGTACATTTTCGTTTAGCATGTTTTAAAACAACATGGGTGACATTTCGCTAGATAGAAACAGAAATTATAAAGCGTATAGTAAATCTATATGTCAAGGTGCGTTTAAATTACAGATAGATGCGTTGTTACACTCTTAATATCATAGGTGACGAATTACCCCTTAATTTTGGCGCGAAATTTAAGCGTTATTTTGTAATTTCACATGTGAATTTACAAAATTGCCATGGCAACCCATAACGTACGTCTCAGTGTCAAGATGGCGACGAAGTTTTAAAATGTCATGAATGAAGATGTCAGGGCACAAAAAGACGCTTTAGAAAACCTGAACACACGAAAGAGCACATCAAGAAGGATTCTAACAGGTATTTTGTCGAAAAACTCTGAACTTAAGCCAAATTTAAGCTCTAAACGTTCGAGAGAGTGCAAGAGCTCTCGATCGATACGATCCAGGATAAACATGTCAAAAATCCAAGATTGTTAACGTAATTCGTCACCCATGATATTAATAGGTAATCAAATGGTATACTCGTGAAATTAGGGAATAATTTCACTTGCGTTTTGTCCAAATCCTAATAATTTCCCGAGCCTAAAGGCTCGGGAAATTATAAGGATTTGGACAAAACGCAAGTGAATTATTCCCTAATTTCACTCGTCACCATTTGATTACACATACTAATTTCATGATCCTCATTCTCGAAAAATTTTGTAAATAGCTAATCCTATCCGATGCATTATTTTGATTTTGGAATTAATTTTTTCTACATTACTGTTATTTCCTCCTTTTTTCGCTAATTTGCCTTGTAACCGAAAATCTCTTTTAATGGAGTAAGAATAAAGTATGTAGGTATGTAGGCATGCTTATCGCTTCCTGCATTCGGTAACCAGCAAAGCATTTTCATTGCTAAATGATAAAAACAATTTCTGTGTATACCTGCTTTTTATCCCAAATTTTGGGACCGTGGACCATTCAGTTGAAAGCTAGTGAGTGGTAAAAATATGTATTTATAAAATAACTAAGATAGTACGCGCGCTCTGATTGGACGAGAGGAGTGTTTGCATGAGAGTATGTAAACATAATTGTGGCGTCAAGATGTTTTGCTTTTCGCGCGTTAATCACGCAAGCACGAATTTGAAAACGTTTTCGAGCTTAAAACTCGACAAGTTTACTTTATTTACCCATTCCTTCGTCGGCTGAAACTTGGAAAATCGTTACAAAGACGGTGTGTCAATTTTTCTTCGCTTAAGCTGAGGAGAAAATTCCCTATTTTGGAAAGCATCTTTTTGCAAAACAAGAACTGATTACGCGAGCAAGACTTCGTGGACAAGACTTTGCGACTGGTAAGAATTACTCTTTTAATCAGTGCCATACAAAGAGTTTTGCGTTTTTTCTCGGGAAAGTTAATTTATAAAAGCAATAGAAAACTTTTTTTCTGTGTTTGCACAGCCTGATATAAACACTCGAGGCGTTGGGAGAATTCTCGACAGTTATGCAAACCATCGACTTCGTCTCGGGTTTGCATAAGTGTCTCGAATTCTCCCAGCCCCTCTCGTGTTTATATCAGGCTCTGCAAACACGGAAAACGTTTTCTATTGCTTAAATATAAACGGTGAGGAACCGTGGAAAACCAACGTAAGCTAAACAACATAGATAGATAGACTCAGAAGACTTTATATAATTTGTGTTTTAAATTTTAAAACGCGACGTTGACCTTAAAACAAGAGTCTACAGGACGAGACTTCCTGCAAGGGTGCAGGTGCTTTGTAAACACTAGCTATAAAGATGAAAGCTCATACCTCAGCTTCTAGTTTGTCAAGTATATCTACACAACTTTAGAGACCTTACGATAAACCATTTCCGTGTAAGGGTACGGGTAGCCTTAAATACGGGTAGATGGCCTCTTACCCGGGAGAAACGGGTGGGCTACTGGAAAGAACGGTGATGTCATTATCACAACTGGGAAATCATGATTATCGCCTTTTGTAAAACTACGCGGCAAACAGTCGCCACGTACTACACATGCCCGTGTGCAGGAACGGCGTATCTTAAGTAGTCCCTATTACATACCTTCCAACCTTTCTTAGATTTCTGCGACAAATGCGCATGATTTCCGAAAAGATAAAGACCACAACGCGCCCGAGAAATGGCCACACACAAGCGGTCCATTGATGCTAGGTATCCAATAACCCCTTCTTTGTTGCTTCGAACCAGCGAAACAAGAATTATATCATTTTCTTGGCCCTGTGATTGAAAAAGAAATATTCATACTCAGTGAATCCTGACATGCAGTGGCCTGCGTGTAGACATCTCCTGTGGAGAGGAGAAGTGTGACGTCACGTTACCATGGTAGCGGGATAGAGCGTTTTCACATGACGTCACGGCGGCCATGTTGGTGTTCCAAAACAATGAAACGGCGGCCATGTTGGTGCACCCAGAAAATCCTCTGGGAGTTGAACTCTTTTCTCATGTAAATGCTTTCTTTTTCTCCAATAAATTAGCATAGATGCTGGCCACGTGAATGAAAACGCTCTATAGGGAGCTTAAGCAACAATGTTGGCGACGCCAAAGAGAACTGGAAAAAAGTAATAGGTTTATATTAGCAAAACACCAACTGTGCACGTGCATCACGCTTTTTTGCACGTTTCTTAGCCGCGTTGCATGACTAAGTTCACGCACCCGCTTTACGATGTAGGAGAGCACAACCCCAAAATTTGTTTTTCTCAACTTAGATTCGGTCCTTTCGGAATTAACCACAGAAAACTTCGCTATCATTTGACAAATTAAATGAAATTGAATAAGATCGTCGAAGTTTGAAACAGTGCGAGTTCACTTTTTAAGTGATGTTTTCGCTTTGTTGTCATCAGAAATTTTGCTACCATGGCAACGTGACGTAGTGAGTTCTCCTCTCGATTTCCTTTATTGGTCGAAGAAAAGGGATTAAGCTAAGTGGCATACCTTAAATGACCTAATAGACGCCCTCTTTCAAATAAACTTCTCTTTAACAATCATTCCTGGAGCCCAAATGGGCTCTGAGTCAATAGCCCATGAGGCCGAAGGCCGAATGGGCTATTAACAGAGAGGCCATGAGGGCGAGAGGAATAATTGTTTTAGTCACATCCAACTAGTTGGTCAAAAACATAGAGTCTAAACAACTTCAGCTACGTAGTTAAAGCAAGACTTTAATCCTTTTTTGCCCCAAAAAGCTGATGCTTTTCGCTACTAGTGGGCTATAACATATAGCCTAACGGTAGCTCAACCAATCAGAACGCAGTATTGATAACAGACCACTAGTTGGATTTTACTAATATCTAATAAACGCCCCCGCTACTAGTAATATTAACCTTGTATCAGACGCCCCTCTTTAACAAACGTCCGCTCTAATAAAAGCCCCCATGCACCTCCCAATGAGAATTACTGCAAAATGCTAGGAATTAACGGTAGCAAAAAAGGAACAAAATCTTTCAATTTGTTCGGTTTCTTGCCTGATGAACAATGGTTCTTTCACTGTATCGTGCTCATAGGGATAGACTAACGTTGACAACAAAGTGATCCTAAGCGGAGATTCGGATCTGTCGACGATGTTGAGATTTGACAGAGCGATATGGATCTATAGACGGCCTAGATGTATCCATTGATGGCCTAGCTATTCCGCTATGTTTTAAACTTTCTTGATAATTTCAAGAATAGCATATACGTTTTGCTGAGCTGTTCGCAGTTCAGAGAATAAAAACCTCCTATCAATGAAACGTTTTCTTTTGGACCATCAGAATTAAATAACGACCCGGGCGTCTATTAGATCATTTATATTTGATGAATTGTTTGCAGGGGACTGTCGAGCGAATCGACGTTCGTCGTCGCTCTT